TACAGATTAATTAAAATTTCTCATAGAAAGGGTTTTGTTTTCACTGCTGGGGACTGTGTCACTGCATAACATAAGGCACACACGTGAAACATGAGCTTTTGACACTCGAAGCATAATGAATTTTAAAGAGGAAACTGATCACATCTCTTAAAGAAACGTCAACATGAAATGTCCCAGAAGAGAAAACTGGTCTCGACACATCCTCGTTATAAAACTTAATCTCATCTAGTCCAAATTAGTCATATAATAGTCATATAATATTGTGTCATATCATCTGTCAAACACCTCTCATCTCTATTCCCAGTCCGCAGAGTCTCATACTGCGGCGGACAGCACCGTGGACCGTGACTCTCACCGGGTGAACTGGAACTCAGGCGTGGCCATAAATCACGCTGCTCGCACGTTTGCCAAACCAGACGCGGATTAGGGCCGGTTTGTACTGCATGTCTTCCAGACTAAAAACGGGGGGGGGGGGCGGTGAGGGGAAACACGCTAAATATAAAGGAAGACGGATGCCTGTCTGTGTGCCTTACTCCACTCAGACAGTGGGCCGGCTTATCGAGACTGATAAGCAGAGCTGTCTTCCTGATGAGTGCGCTGACCTGCCAAGCTGCTTGGCTCTGCCTCAGAAAAGCCGGGTGTACAGGGTAGCCCTCCCGAGTGATTTAAGCTTATGAGGTCACTCTCTCAAGTCAATGAGGCGTATGAAGTCACCGAAGCGAGTGAATGACGGGATGTGAGGTCACTGTGATGAGTGAATGAAGGGACATGGGGTCACTGTAGTAAGTGAATGAAGGGACGTGAGGTCTCTGTATTGAGTGCATGAAGGGATGTGAGGTCACTGTAGTGAATGAATGAAGGGATGTGAGATCACAGTAGTGAGTGAATAAAGGGATGTGAGGTCACTGTAGTAAGTAAATGAGATGATGTGAGGTCACTGTAGTGAGTGAATGAAGGGACGTGAGGTCACTGTAGTAAGTAAATGAAGGGATGTGAGGTCACTGTAGTGAGTAAATGAAAGTATGTGAGGTCATCGTAGTGAGTGAATGAAGGGATATGAGGTCACTGTAGTGAATGAATGGATGTGAAGTTACTGAAGTGAATGAATGAAGAGATGTGAGGTCACTGTAGTGACTGAATGCAGGGATGTAAGGCCATCGTTGTGAGTGAATGAAGGGATTTGAGGTCACTGTGGGAAGTGACTGAAATACATGAGGTCACACTCGTAAAATTTCATGGCATGTAAAATGTATTCTAATGGGCATACCTTCTCTCTTCATGCCCATGGCCAGACACTTCTGGTAGCGGCAGTACTGGCAGCGGTTCCTCTGTCTCTTGTCAATGGGACAGTTCTTGTTGTCTCGACAGGTGTAGGTCAGATCCTTCCTCACTGTCCTCTTGAAGAAGCCTTTGCAGCCCTCGCAGCTGTACACGCCGTAGTGTTTACCTGCCAAAGGCAAGACAGCTCATCTTCAAGGGCTGGATTGATTAATGAGGTCCAACTCTAGATTCAAAGTCTTTAACCCCACACAATGCTGATGATTTGTAGATCAACTGGAGTGTGAACATGAAACAAGATATGGTATGCTGCTGGGACTTACCCGAGGACCGGTCACCACAGATGGTGCAAATGTGCTTGGTGAGAGCCAGCGGGTTGCCAGAGGGCTGGGCAGGCACCTTCATCACGCCATTCAGACCTAGCGGGGGCTTGATGTCCTCTGAACTGCTAACCGAGTTCATGGGGGAGCTGAGCTGAGGCCAACAGGGACAGAGAAGGAGATAAATTGATGGACGTGATCACCATAATCAACACAACAGCATCCTCGTCCTACAGTTACCTGCATACAGCAAACATGAGAATAACGGCATAGGTGGCATCATTTGGAGATGTGTTGGAGCTTTGATCCTCATTACCTGGACCTCTCGAGGATACTACAACAACCTGAGAGCTGATAACCCCACCCTCCTCCACCGTATGCCCTTACATTTTGACTCAGAAGCTTGAGGGAACCTGGGAGTCTGTTTGTTTGTGGGCTTTCTTTGACAGTTGCCCCCCCCCCACCCCCCCACCACCGGTAAGGGAAGCCTCTGTGGATGTCTGCCTTGCAGCTGGCCGGGCCGTGGCGCTGCGCAGCTCTATTTCAAAGCCCGTAGCCCAAACTTGGGCTGCCCCCCCAGTGAGCTGCGGTCGGATCTGATTTCCACGATATTTTGCTTTATGGCACTTTCAGAAAAAACATCATAGTGACTCATATGGTGTGGCCAATGAGTATGGTCAAAAAAGGTAAGCAAAAACAGAATTAATCCTGACAGCGTGATCTGGTTACAGAGCTTGGGTAAGGCAATGAAATGTTCCCGGCTTGACAAAGACACGGATACCTGTTTTGGTGAGTGGGCAGACTCCCACCACCCTGCGATGGCGCCGAGCCGGTCGTCACGAGCGAGAGGCTCGCCCCTCCGGCGGCCCGCCCGCGGCACCCATCGGCTCAGCCCATCTGCTCCGTATTTACACTCCAGGTCCAGGGCCTATGCAGCTGGTTGGCGACCACCTCCCGCAAGACATCCTTAGCAGAGCGTCCGATCGCCTGCGCTGCTAATTCCGCTAGCCCATATGCGCCTTCCGTGGTGGACTTGCTTGCTGTCGCCAAGGCCCCCTGGTGGCCGTCCCGACGGCGCAAAAAAAAAGTGCGGCAGCTGCCCTAGACGTTGGCTGGGCCCAGATCCACTGGGCAGTGAACGCCCTCGTTGTTGCTGGCCCGGCTAATCCACTAGCTGCTGTGTCTTTTTTTTTTTTTTCTGGCCCAGACACCACCCCATTGGCTGAGATGAGACCCATCTAAGAATGTAGCCCTTCTGCGGATACTGAACATAGTATCACGGGAGTCTGAGTTCCCACACTTTGTTTACGTAAGTGGGCTGCTTAGGGCTTGCATTCTTTGCAATTTCATGCCTCAAAAGTCTCCTGGTGGTTTTCACAGTTATTATATATTTACAGAAGTAAAATAAGGCCTTGCGCTGCTCCAGAGACATCTCTCCTATCTGATCCCTGTCGAGTGCCTCAACATTTGCACTCAAACCTTCCTCCTTTTGTAAATTAAAGAGGTATCATTTCCAATGAAGGTGCAGATCTGATGCGATCAGCATAACAGGACGATACGTCTGCCAGCGTGGTCCAAACTTGCTGCCACGGCCGCATGTGGAACGTACATTTCAAATGGATTCTTGTGGTCGTATTAGATAAAGGTTTGGTTTCCGTGCAAACGGCAAATGCGTATTCTGTTCCATAATCTCCTTGCAGGCATTACTTCTCCCTCATTCTGTGACATGGAAAAACATCCGCCCACAAATCCACGGCCATCCCGTCATCCCGAATCTCCGACAGGAACACGTCAACATCAGAGACATGGGAACACGCATTACTTATAGGCACACGCTGTGAGTTACCTGTGATTTTACCTGCTCGACAACATCCGCTTGTTCTCATAGAGATAATTGGACCCGGACAGTAGATCATGACATAAAACATAACAGAGCGTCAGACAGAGTTCATGCATCCTCAAAGAGTTTATTCTGAGGTGCTGAATCCCATCCTGTGATTGACTCAGACTCTACAAATTCCTGTTTGTTGTTTTCGGCACCTAGAAAGGCAACCAGCTTACACGGAACTGGACAGATACGTAGATAAGGTACAGCTCAACTCTGCGTTCAGGTAACCTGTCAAACCAGTGCGTTGCTGTCCTACTTCAGCCTCTGGTGAACATTTATCTGATGCCATCACATATAAAAATACACAATCTAAATTATCATAGTAGACCTTTTCCTGAAGAAAGTTCATCTGATGATGCAAACCATAAGCTCCTCTTCATTAGCCTTATTCAACTCAAGAATCACAAAATGAAGAGTCTTTATGGGCCTGATACCTTCATGTGGGTATATTTTAGCTTACATCGTCTTAACACCTGCCACTTCCCTCTCTCTCACGCCCAGACATTCTGCTCCAACAATTTCATCTTCTCACCAGTGACACAACTGATCGCAACTGCTTCTACTCAGTAAATACAGTTTCAGTAGATCAGTGACTCAATAAGCCCTGCGAGACACTGTGCAGGGCTGGGGTGTTGATTCGCCCTTATGATCTGAACTGTGGGGACACAGGAGGTAGGATCCTAGGGCTCGGGGGAGGAAGTAGGACAACTGGCCATGTCATGAATGAATTCACAAGCTGTGGTGAGCCAGGGAAAGGGGGCGCTGACATGTTAACATGCAGGAGATTGGTAGGAAGGAGAAAAGGGTGAGGCACTGGTGACCAGCATATAGTAGTGAGTCACATACAGGACCGCGGTATGATAGTACGCCTGACTTCAACCCTTGTGGCTCTTTGTAAAGTTCGGTCTGGACCTCTGGCCACGGACACAAACGTCCATTGGCTTACAGAAGGATCTACAGGAAAATTGAGCTTTCAAAGCCCCAGAGGGAAAAAAAAACCTTGGACACAGACAAAAAAGATGACAGATTCCTTAATGCCCACTAAGGTCTGTCTTTCATCACGGCTTCCCCCGTGAGAGATCCCCCGAGAGAGATCCTTAGAAAAATCCATATTGGCAACTATTCAGTCTATAATGATATTCCCTTTTATAATGCTGATACATATGTGTATAATGGTGCAACGATCTTCCAGCAAGGGACTCAAACCGTACGACTTTGTGGGCTGTGGTGTTGCACCACTGCCATGGATATGACCCACAGAGACCGCTCACACCCCTGTTACCCAACCTGCCTAAATCCACTGGACAAGAGCTCTGGGGAGAGCCCTCAGAACATCTAAAAGCCCTCTCATCTGGATAAAACAAAGACGAAATAAAACTTTTTTTTTAAGAAAGCACCACCACGTGAGAAGAATGGAAGAACAGAATACATTATGCGGAGATTCTGACTTTCATGCAGCGAGAAGCTAGGCAGGACCGACATGTAAAACCGACCCAAAAATGAGCGCCACAGAAAACCCGAGTGAACAGTCGGGGAAGTTGGTGCAGATGCTGCTTTTGAAAAAAGCTCGCTTGCCGTCTCAAAAATTTGTTCGGAATGAGTCTTCAAAGAGGTCCGCTGAGCGTGAGCCTCTGCTTTCGACGGGGCGAGGGAAAAAAAACCCTTTCCTTTTTTTTCCCTTTGAAATCGCATAATCAGCTTTCAGGTCGTTTCATCATCAACGTCTCTGGGCCCGACGTGTGTGAAATGCATCGAATCCTGAACTAGAGGATGTCCTTCCAGTGCCCTTAAAGTGAACAGACACGGGGCGTCTTGTCCGAAAACGGCTCATTCATACTTTGCACATTACTCTGCCATATCTGCTGTCTCAGCCATTTCTGATACTTATATTATAATTAATATATTTTGTTTAGTCATATTTTCTGTTTCAGCCATTTCATCTATTTGTTTCATAAATATGCACCTCTGCAGCTAGTTATATGGCTACGTTTTGTAAGTACCTTTGTTTGGTGATTTGGACCCATGACTTTTGCGTTGTTCGCACAATGATCTAGGTGTTGAGCTATAGGAGCAAATCCTGTAACAGGTTACATGTTACTGACCAGGTGATGCAGGTAATGAACTGATGTACAAAAAATCTTGAATTCGCACTTGGACCCCAGTTAGGAGCTACAGAGTGACAGAATGGATTCTATCCATAAATCATCTCCCTCCCTCTTGAGTGCCAGCTCATCTTTATTTTTACGCCAAGAGTGCCTAATAACATTCCGGTGAATCCCCGATTTAATCTTGAGTTCGGAAGGAATCACCAAAGGTCCAAGGCCGAATTTTCATATCCTGCATAGCAAATACAGTTGCTTTAAAAGTACAATGACAAAGCCTTGGTTCAAAGGCTGTCAGATTTTCAGAACGGAAGGTTTTTAGGATTATAGGGCAGACATAGACACATTTACCTGAAAACCCAAATAACGGTCATGCAATGGATGTGGACGTCTGGGATTCTGAGATGATACCAAAACTGTTCCACTTACATTTGACTTGAACACCTTTATCTCAGCCTGTCAGAGCTGTAATTGTAAATGAGATGGGTGCTGCCATAGTGGGAGAGGCTGGTGCACCATGGGAAACGGAGCGGAGTCTCAGACACAGTCAGACCACTTCCCATAATTTATTCCTCAACTGCCCAAACAAGCTTTGCTATAACTATGACTGAAACTACCAAGTGACTGCTTGTGTTCTTGTGCTCGTACCTTCTGCCTCACTTTGTATCTCCTGACACCACAAATCAAAGATTCTTTGGTGTCCTTTGTTTTTATTATCAGCAGAACAAAAAAATCACCTGTATACCTTTCCCTTTTATTTTCCGACCTAAAAAACAACTGTCATCAATACTTTTTGTTATCCTTCTGGAAAACTCTTGACAATGGACAGATGCATGACTTTCAGGAGACAGTGGACAGATTGATGACTTTCAGGAGACAGTGGACA